AATGGAGAGTCAAAAAGAATAAACCACTATTATTACTAAAATGGCCTCCCGAATGTTGGCGAATTCCGTCTTGACCCTGACATGTTTTTGCCGGGAAACTAAGACATTATGACAAATACACAAGAAGGAAAGAGATAGATAGTAGACTGTCAACTTCACAGTTGTTTTTAAGGTAAATGACCTTTCGTATAGCTGCTAGTTACTTTAGATAAATGTTTTAAGTTGAATAATAAATAAGTTATTGTCATCATCATCATCATCATTACAGCCCTTCACAAGTCCACTGCTGAATATATACATACATAGGCCTCCCCCAAGTAATGCCACAAAGCACGGTCCTGAGCCACCTGCATCCATCGACTTCCTGCATGTCTTACCAGGTCGTCACTCCATCTAGTGGGGGGTCGCCCTACACTACGCCTACCGGTACGAGGCTGCCATTCGAGAACCTTTCTTTCCCATCGGTTATCGGTTCTTTGAGCTATATGGCCGGCCCATTGCCACTTCAGCTTACTAATCCGTTGGGCTATGTCGGTCACTCTGGTTTTACTGCGGATATCCTCATTTCTGAGTCTATCACGCAGAGAAACTCCGAGCATAGCCCTCTCCACAGCTCGCTGAGCGACCTTGAGCGTCCTCATACAGCTAGCAGTGTAGGACCATGTCTCAGATCCGTAAGTCATCACTGGCAACACGCACTGGCTGTACACATTAGTTTTCAGAGATTGAGGTATACCTGACGAGAAGATGTGTCGTAATTCCCCGAACGCTGCCCAGCCGAGTTGAATCCGTCGATTGACCTCTTGGCCGAAGTTGGACTTACCTAGTCGGACTATTTGTCCCAGGTAAACGTACTCGTCAACAACTTCGAGCATAGTGCTCCCAACAACTACCCGCATAGGTGTGACATGGACATTAAACATGATCTTTGTTTTGTCCATGTTCATCTTAAGACCTATCTGTTGGGCGACACCATTGAGGTCATTGAGCATTGTGCTAAAGTCCTCTAGCGATTGTGCCATAAGGACTATATCGTCGGCAAATCGAAGGTGAGTGATGTACTCGCCATTGATGTTAATACCTTACCCTTTCCAGTCCAGTAGCTTGAAAACGTCTTGCAATGCTGCGGTGAAGAGTTTCGGGGATATAACGTCACCCTGTCTTACACCTCTGCAGTTGGATAGGTTTCATACTCTGGTTCTGTACTCGTATAGCCATCGTAGCCCTTCTGTACAAACACTTCAGCACTTCAATATACCGACAGTCAACTTGGCACCGCTGAAGGGACTGTAGCACAGTCCAAATTTCGAAGGAATCAAAGGCTTTCTCATAGTCCACATACGCCAGGCAAAGTTGCAGATTGTACTCTTCGGTCTTCTGTACAATCTGCCCCGCAGGGTATATATGTGGTCTATGGTACTGAAGCCTTTTCGGAAACCGGCTTGTTCGGGAGGCCGGAAGTTGCCTGCGTGCTTGAATGCTGACGAAAACAGCACGTAGACGCGGCTCAGAAGGGAAATCGGTCTGTAGTTCTTCAAGAGAGCGTTGTCGCCTTTCTTAAAGAACAAGACCAGCGCACTTCTGCTCCACGCCTCCGGAGTAGTGCCACCATGGAGGACGGAATTGAAGAGCTTCTGTAGGACTTCAAGTACTGGTGTTCCACCCGCTTTCAGAAGCTCCGCTGTAATTCCATCCTCGCCTGGGGCCCTGCCGTTTTTAAGGTGCTGAAGAGCCATCTAATCTCACTCAGACTGACGTCCGGGATATCATCGGAAGAGTGTCAGATAAGACTTGCTCTTGGATCGTTACTCACACTTGCGTGTGGCTCCAACAATGATGTGTACAGCTGCCCATAGAACCTCTCAATCTCACTCAAAATCTCAGGTGTCCCGGAAACAATGCTGCCACATTCAGTCTTCAGCTTTGACAATTGGCTCTTTCTGGCAGACAGATCTCTGGCAAAGACAGTTTCCACGAGCTTGTCATTCATATCATCCACTGCATTGCAATCTTCTAGGCACTGAAAGCGGTTATGTAACTCGAGCTGAAAGGTTTTGGGATTCTGGATTAGAGCATGAGGGGGACGGAGCGTTAAATATTCTAATAAATAATAATTGCTGTGAATGCAATTTTTTGTAATGAATTTTAAAGAAATTGCTTGAAATAAATGTAAGTTATGGGTTACACAACACTGTACTTGTCAGGAGGTTGTGATTCGAGAACACTTTTCTTCCCCATCAGTTGTAGATCCTTCAAACTATATGGCTGGCCTATTGCCACTACTATTTACGAATCTATTGAATTTTCAAAGCTGGATATAGCTTACAAATGCACATAGGTTTCTTAAAAAATACACCAGTCTGCTTAAATTTTTGAGTCACTCACACTTACTAATATAATTCTATGCATTTAAACATCTTACATCATTCTCACAAGATGTTAAATGCATAGAAGAAACAAGATAGCATGTGACGGCAAATAATGTATTTCCATTTTATACAGTGAATACTGCTGATTTCATCAGCTAAGTAATGTTAATATAGAAATCTATGTCTGGTCTAGAAGGGTGGGGCAATGGTGACATGTCAAAAACAACCAAACTTATCATTAATAAAAAACTAATATACTTACACAAACTGCTTATTGGCATTGTCTTCCTCACCAAAGGCAATGGTGTCATCATCAAGTAGCGGCACCTGGGGCACACCTGGCTGTAAGTAGCGCGGTAACAAAACTACATCAGCAAAAGCCGTGCAAAGCATAAAAATATGTAAAAGTAAAAAACTAATATCAATATTAATTATTATTTTTACTTATAGTTTAACGCTGGTTATGGTATTAATATTTTATAGCTGAAACTACTATTACAGAATCAATTAACTAATATAAAAATTGCAAATTAAACACAGCAAATCTTTGAAACATGTTATTATTGTTGTTTGAAAATTTAGGAGACTAAAGATATAGACACTACAATAACAACACGACATAAACTTACAGTCGCAGAATTCATCGTTTGTCTGTTATGTTGAATATATTTCTTTTACGTTTATTAGATTTCAAATGTAAACGTAAACATGAATCATATCACTATCGTTCGCAATTTCAACAATCATAAAATCAAATCTTTTTATTTTATTTGTAGAAATCAACAGAACGTCATAGTCGTAGAATAGTGACGGATCTGACAATTATTAAACTTTACAGGGCAGCCATTTCAAATAATTATGTTAGATTTTTTGACATAACTTTTTTTAATTCTAAATCTGTAATTATGAAAATTGGCATATCGGTTTAAAATGGGGTTTATTTTAAACTGAAATAAAAACAATAACTTTTAATTATACAGTTTTCCTGAAAAATCACGTGCTTCATTTTACTTTGGAGTCAAGACAGTAACATAGTATTATCCGACATTTTTCTTCGGAAAGTTACTGTTCAAAGAATGACGGATGTTACTTTCCAGTCATGTTCTACTGACTTAGCGAATAATATTTTGGCGGATGTGTTATCTGTTATATTCTAGTTTGACCATGAGTAAGAAGGTAGGCAGGTGTTCGATAAGTAAATAGTACAGTAGGTAAGTAGGTTGGGGTAGGTAGGGTATCTTATAAATAAAACAGACTATTTGGTCTAGTCTTTATACTGAATTTGTATTAAGAAATTATAAACAACATTATTTTGTACTACATAGATTAAGAAGACTATAATGTTGAAGCTATTTGGACCTGAATTCTTCCTTTTTGGTAAATTACTAATCTAAAACTTAAACACTAACCATTTGTTAGCCAAGTTATATGATCACAATCATTTTTATAAGTAGATAGTGTAGTAAAAACGTTAATTAAATGAATAAATCCTTAAAAATCACAACTTCAGAGATCAAAACAGTAAAAATTAAGTAACTAGGATTATTAAACACAATTCTTTAGCACAATTATTCAATCAGATTCATTGTTATTATCAGAAACATTACGCCCATGAGGTAAACTTCTGAAATAGTTATGATATTTGGTAGGTATTATTGAAGAATCGCAAAGGCTAATGAGATCCTTATATTTATCATTACTGATTGGAATTGGCCCCACGTAAGCTTTATGTAAGATTGGATTATTGTATTGTCTAGTTTCCTTTCGAAGTACCAGGGTCATGTAGTCATCAGATAAATCATATTTGTACCGAATTTTACTGCTCTGAGTTCCATCGACACAAACTTCTTTTATGCTTGTCCAAGTAACTTTGTTGTTAACTGTATTTTTTACCCAGTTTTTATTTTTTAGCTGATCTTTAAAGTCAAACACTAAAGACTGATTTACGTCTATGACCTCATAAGAATCACCTGTTACTTTAGCCCAACGTACATGTAATTTCCATTCATCTGGTGTATAAATTGTTTTATGCTCAGCAGCCCTTTCTATCACACTGTGGACAGAATCCCCCCTCGTTTTGGGTGTGGCCTTTTTCAAAGAATCTATGTGTTATAGTTATATCATATTCTTTAGCTACATGAGCATACATAATAAACACTATGCGATTTCGATTCTGGCCAGCGCAATTGTCTGACCAGAATCGAAACTCTTTCACGCCTTTTGATACAAACTTCTTTATGAAGTCATAAACGCAACTGGCTACTTCGTTGGCCCCACGTTTGGCAACACTTTCATCCCACATATAGCAATAACCTTGTTTGCTGATCATATCGTATATGGTGAAATTATAACATGACAGCTTTCGCTTGTAGTACAATACACTCATTTGCCCGTGAGGACATGACAAAACCTTCTGAAAATCAAAGGTAGCACAAACTATGCGTCCATTAGAATTAACAGCGTCATTTTTATCATTCTGTTTCAAGATCCTAGACACTTTTTTGCTATTTAAATGCTTTGCATACTGTTCTTTAAGTTCATCAGGCGGATTTTGTGTCAGTTTAAAACTATGACACTGATCACAAGTATCCTTTTTGGGTAGATGAAAACTCAAATTAAAATGACTGTTAACTATGTCTCTGTACTGTCTAAGACTGGAAGCTGTATTTGAATAAGCTGTATTTGGTTATGCTTTAAATCTCTTTGAAGGCCCCTTTTCTTCTTCTGTTTTGTAGTATAATTCGCAACATGCAACCATTGTTTCTCACGATCACCTAACTTCCAAAAATTTTCAAATGCATCCTGTCTTTCTTCGAGAGTCAACATAGTGTAACATTTATATCTACACGTGCAAGGCCTACCTATAGTTTTTGCTTGAACAATAACGCCCTTTTTGGAGATGTATTCTTTTCCTGCATTTGCTAAGCGTTTTCTTTTAATTTCTTCCCAATTGTCATAATTTCGGACACGTTTTTTACCTCTACATCGAATAAGAGGCGCTGTAGACAACTGGTATGAAGACACAGCTGTGCTTGTTTGATTGACAGTTGCTATGTCTGCACCATCGTGAGTGGAACAAAAAAAGTCATTACATACCTCACCATGAGTTTTTACTGGTGATGGCATAGGTGTTTGTCCATTGTTATCAACAGTCGGGGTAATCGGTTGCGGGAAAGGTGACAGGTCTGATATCAGGGTAGAAGTATTTAAAGGAGTTAGAGCTGAGGTGATATTTAAGAGGGACACGACACCATGCTGATTTTCTGACGCGAGTAAATATGGTGAGGATGCATTTTCATACACGGCCATAAAAGGATCTTCTTCAAGAACACAAGTAGATGATGGTATGTTCGGGTCCATATTTTCATTTGTTGATTTTACGATTTCGCTTGTTCCGTGTACGTCATCTGAAAAGACATCTTCACAAATGTCGTTCATCTCTTCTATTACGTTGCGTGCTCCTGGAGATAATGGCGAATGGCATTCTGAAAAGATATCAGTATATGTAAAAATAAATAGATTATTAATATCACAGGTTAACATTTACTTAAAAACGGTAAGACTATTCATAATAAAAAGATTAGAAAGTATAAAAAAGTACTTCTTTTTATTTATACAGGTAAATTTTTACTCAAATCCGATTATTTTTTAAAGAAAAATATATTAAATATATACAAATAATCATAGTTTTTCAATAGAAAAATGGCGGAAGTGAATTTAGTTCACAGAAAAAAGTGGGATGATCAGATACGACCGTTAGACAAAAAAGCGTGTCCACAAAATACCGGCGTTTGTAACCACGCGTCACTATCATGTCCATAGAAAAATGTAATATAGTTACATACAACTTGAAAATTTAAATTCTCAAATATAACAAAAACTCAACATAGTAATTGGAGTAATATCAGCGAGCAAATATTATTTTTATAAAAATTACATTTTATATTGATTTATATTTTCCGTAGAAAACCGACGGATACTCAGAACCGACGCTTTACTTATTTACTTTGCAAAATATGTGTAAATACAAGAATTAAGTAATACTATAATATTAATACATAATTCATTAACTTACCTGGAGTCCCTGGTATGCAGTCCTCCTCATCCATGCGCTCTTCATGAGTAAAACCCGTACTTTTCGAATTTTTGCTTGTTTCTTCCACAAGTTTTAACATAAGCTTTGATCGTCCTGTTTTCATTGTGGCACCTTTTAATATAATATGTAAAAAAACTAGGCACGCAATAGCTAACAAACAGGCAAATAAAGTAAAACTAGTGAAATTGTTTAAGAAAAATCTAATCCGCTGCAACGCGTGAGCGAGTTCGACGAAAAGTGACGATTGCGCGGATTCGTCGGGAGTGGGAGAGGATGGCGGGAGATCCCCGCGCGTCGAATAATGACGAGTATATACAAACGTCATTTTACTATGAGTGCCTATCAAATCCGTCTATTTACCGACTGATTATTTTGAAATCCGAAATACATATAATTTTTTCTTTAATGTAGTAATAATATTTAGGCAATATAGTATCCAAATATGGTAAAAAGTAAATTTCGTGTTTTTTTTAGAACCGTCATTATTCTACGATCATGACGAGAAAAGAAACTACACTTTTCACTTTATACAAAGGTACTCTGTGATTATAGCTCGCAACCTATGGTCGCAACGTCGCATGTCTAATTGACGTTGACATTTTTTATTATTAATTAAGATTTTGGCTTGGATGCTCGTCTTTCTGCTTTACTCGATATCACAGGCAATATATTAGCTAAACATGATTCTGGACACAGTACGATTCTAACGCTATTAGACTATTCCTGCGTTTTCGACTGCCCAAATATTCACCTACTGCTTGTTAGTCATATTATGGATTAGACAAAAATTCGGTCAAGTGGTTCAGTAGTTACTTGAGTAATCGATTCAATCAGTAACATTTGTAAAAAGTGATGGGTCTAGAGTACGTTCTCACCCAAGGCTTATTAATCGTGGTGTTCCTCAGGGTTCAATACTGATCCACTTCTTTTTATAATTTACTGTGCTGATGGGACAGAATTGCTGACTGGTCAATGAGATATGCCCTTGTTTTAAACCCTTCAAAGCCAAAATATATGGTCGTGGGCACAAAGACGCAGATAAATAGAATCTGTGGTGACCTAGATGAAGTAAATGAAGCCAAAATCCTAGGCATAACCTTCGACGGTAATCTCAGATTTGAAAATCATGTCCTTTAAATAATAAAAAAACTGTTTTTATCGCCTAAAGGTCCCTAAAGGTCATACCAAATCCCTGAACATCTTTCTATACCATCACGCATTACTCTTTGCGAGTCATTAGTTTTATCTAGGCTCAACTACGGGGATTTCATTTATGGACCTCGGATTTTCAGCAAAACAAAGCGACTCGATTCTGTTTTGATGTACCCCCAGAAATCACATAACTCCCTTTCTAAACACTGCTTCCATGCTCAATATCGACTCACGTAGAGAGCTACATTTCGGAGAGCTAGTCTTTGGTGTTATTAAGTTTAAAAAAACCAGAGTACTTGCATGCAAAGATAAAGTTTGCTAAGCAAAATTCTGGAAAACAATTGAGGTCCATAAGATTAGCACTCCTATATTACAGCCATAAAACAGCAGCATTTACTGACAGTTTCTGATATATGGCAACGAAGTGTTGGAATAACATCACACCACCAATAAGAAATCTTAACACCAATTAGAAGTTTAAAAATAAATTCAAAACATATCTCTTAGATAAACAAAACGAGGTAGTTAGTTAGTTAGTTTAGTTTACGACGGGCTGTTTTCCGCAACTCCACGTCTTAGCGTGTATTTTGCGTGTGGGCAGGAATACTATGGTTATTCGAGCCATGATATCTCCCCGAAGAAGCTCAGCAGTCCCTTGATGTTGCAAGCAACTTCGGGGAGCGATCCCGGCGTGCCGAGATCGTTTCGAAGCGACCCCCTGTATGAAGCGACTTCTGGACATGTCAGCAACACGTGAGCCGCCGTTTCTTCCTCTCCCATGCATGCCCTGCACAGGGGGCTATCAGTAACACCTATGGTGAACAAATGTTTGTTAAAAGAGCCATGTCCTGTGGTAGCACTTGTTACTTGATCCTGATCTGTGGCTTGTTCAGTCTCATTAGAACCTTGGTTAGACGACTGTTTATTTCAGGTAGGGCTTCCCTAGCTTGTCTACAGTCTACTAAATTATTCCGAAGCTGAGCGTGTAAATTATTGAAGTATCTACGTACCAGTGAACGAACGTAGCTAAAGGGGATTGGTATTATTGGTTCCGGCCCTATAGTTGCCAGGGCCGATCCCCTTCTGGCCAGTTCATCTGCTGCATCGTCGCCTCTAGATCCACTGTGTCCCTTGATCCATTGCAGAGTCACATTGTTGTGCTTACATACCTCATTCAATCGTTGATGGCACTCGTATATCAGTCCCGAGTTCGTCACATTGCTTGTAGTACCGCCATACTGTCGGTCAGTTTTCTGACGGAGAAGTCTTTCACCTTCCTAGCATCTATTGCTATGGCCGCTTGGATGATACCCATGTATTCAGCCTGGAAGACTGTGTTGTGGGTACCCAGCGGTGTGCATATGTGGATATTGAGGTCTTCAGAGAAAGCCCCAGACCCCACACCTTCATTTGTCTTAGAGCCATCCGTGAAAACTTTGAGCTCTATTGGACCCAATCCTTCCAGATGGTCAGTTTCCTTCAATTGTATCCCGTACTTATTATCGAATACAAATTGTTTTGGGATCCTATCATACTTGGCTTGTAAGATAGGAATTTTTTAGTAAATTCTATCGATTATATCTGTATGGGGGACTCTACTCTTACTTAAAAGATTTAGGGTCTTGAGTCTAAATGGCAGCTAAAGTTGCTTCTTGTTGTATATGTAGATGAAGTAGTGTTAGCTCCAGCATAGCCTCCAAAGCTGCTGTTGGTGTAGTCCTTATGCAGACCGTGGCATCCATACAAGCTAATCTCTGGTAACGCTGAAGCTTTTGTATAGTGGTGGCTTCATTGGTTTTGGTCCACCATACCAGAGAGCCATATGTGATCATGGGCCGAATTACAGTTTTGTACAGCCACAGTAGAATTTTCGGCGTTAAACCCCATCGTTTGCCAATCGTGTTTCTGCATTGCCAGAAAGTTAAACTAGCTTTGCTGATTTTGTTTTCTATGTGTTTGTTCCAGTAAAGTTTACTGTCCAAGGTAAGACCTAGGTATTTTACCTCGGAGGAAAGCTGGAGTTTTGTGCTGAAAAGACTTGGAAGATGATAGTTATTCAGCATTCGTTTTTGTGTGAAAATTACTATAACCGTTTTATTTGGATTAACGGTTAGCTCATATTCCCTGCACCATCTCTCCACAATACGGAGAGCCGCTTGGGTCAGGTCGCATACAATGCTTGCTGTCTTACCAGAGACTAGTATTGTCAGATCATCTGCATAACCGACTGTGTAGAAATGGTTAGCGTTTAATTTGTAAAAAAAAAATTTAATTTTTAATTAAATTAAACAAAACGAGATATTCCCAAACACTTCGTTTGCCAGCTATAAATCATGGCATTTTCTTTTCTTTTTACTAACTCATCATGGTTGGTTAAGTCATTTAGGTACTAGCCTTAACTAGTGCGCAGTCTTACACATCTTTTCAGTAATTTTTAACCGAAGATATAAGTCGTAGGGCTGAAAGACACATCATTGACACACACTACAATAATATGTGCAAATAGTTTTTTTTTCTTTCTTTCTGATTGTACTATTGTGCTCATTTTCTTCTCGCCATCTCGAGGGTAATAGCTGAAATAGACTGTTTGCTCTCTGAGCAATATTAATCGCTGAGTATTGTAACATGTAAATTTAGATCTTAAGTTTATGTATTTTTTTTTCATAATACTCTGCTTTGTATGTGATTTAATCACAGACTATCTATCTTTCAAGCCATGTCTTTATTTCATACGAAATCTTCATCTATAAAGATATGTATAAACATAGAGTTTTTTTTACAATATGCCGACGCGTCACATTGTGAGTTTTTTTTAGACGACAGCTCAATCCAGCGGACAGTCGATGACGACAGTCACTCAAGTTAATAAGGCGCCTAAGCTATTAAAATGAATTGAGATTTATATCAACATCGAATACTTGTTATGTCGTTTTCTTCATAAAATTGCATCACTTTTACGTATCAAAATCCATTTCAAACCATTATTTAAGGATAAAACAGGAACAACAATCCGTCGATGATAAAGTTTCCGCCAAAACGCCATTGACATTGACAGTATTCCGATTGGGAAGATTAAATTTTTTCTTGTATAAGAATAATTGTTCGATATATTCATTAAAAATTAAATTATATAAATAATGGGCCGTCATTTTTTTTATTCTATTAATCTTAAAATAACTTACTTAATATTATATATAATTAGAGACGAAAAATGGGTTGCAGAAGCCCGCTTAGCTACGCAGAATGAATGATAAGATGGATGAAGTTTGCAATATGATGAATGATAGTGGAATATATGTATTATGTGTACACGAGACGAAGCGGAAGGGAACGGATGTCACTACACATGGCAAATATACCGCGTCCAGTACGCGGTGTAGACGAGATCGAGCGGGCATGCCAGGGGGTCGATATCATCCTTTCGGAAAGAATGGGTCAGTGTGTGAAAGGGTGTGAATGTGTAAGCCCGAGACTGCTATGGATATGAATGAAAGTGGGCCTAAAGAAGTAGTTGGTTCTGGGGGTTTACGTCCCAGACATGTCCAAGGATACTTATATGCGAGAGCAGTTTTGGGAGATGGTAAGAATGGTGTTAATGAAATGTAAGGGAAATGAAAATATTGTTATGTTAGGAGATTTTAATGAAAAAGAAAGGGGAAGAAAGCAAAACGTTACGTGAAATAAGATTAGAAGGGAAGTTGATTGAGCAAATGGCTGAGTTCGTGTATTTGGGATGTGTATTTAGCAGGGATGGTAGATATGATAAGGATATAGAACGACGAGTAAATGCAGGGAATAGATTGCATGGGGCACTACACTCTATCGTGAAGAATCAGAATGTGTCAAAAAAGGCACGTATGGTAATTCATAATGCTGTGTTAATCCCTACTTTAATGTATGGTAGTGAAAGTTGGGTGTGGCAGAAGAAGCACGAAAGTAGAATAAATGCTCTAGAAATGCGGTCTTTAAGGAGTACGCTAGACAGGGTGAGTAACTGCGTGATAAGAGATAAATGTGGTATGTAAGATGATGTCGTGACCAGGATTAAGAAAGGAATGTTTCGGTGGCTTGGTCATGTAGAAAGAATGAATGAGGAAATTTTATATGGCAGATGTGAACGGCAGAGTCTGGAAGAGACCCCCTAGAAGAAAGTTTATGGACCTAATTGGCGATATTTTGAAAATGGGCCACATTATAAGTACGCTTAACCGACGAGCATGTATGTGTAGATATATGGATGTAAAGGAGGCGAAAGAGGTATGTCAGGATCGTGCCAAATGGAAGTCCGTAGTCTCTGCCTACCCCTCTGTGTGACAGGCGTAAGTGTTAATGTTATGTTATGTTATTTGAATGATGTAAAAATTTGGGATGTGCAAGCAGGATTTAGAAAGGCAATGGGTTGAACAGGCCAAGTCTTTTCCATGCGCATGATCGCGGAGAAGTTTTTGGCCAAAAACCAAATAGTTTTTTGTGCGTTCATAGACCTGGAAAAGGCTTATGACAGAGTGGACAGGAACGTTTTATGACAAAAAATGAACTCATTTTGGTAGAACGCTGGGTTGATACAGACATTAAAGCCTCTTTATGGGGACTCTAGTGCTTGTGTTAGGATTAACGGGATCTACTCGGATTGGTTAGGCATCCATAAAGGTGTCAGATAGGGCTCTGTGGCTTCTTCGTAGCTTTTCAACCTATATATGAACAGTTGTTTGGAAAATTTGAAAGTTGAAGAATGCAGATTAAGAATGAGTGAGTTAACCGTCAAATACCTTTTGCAATCAAGTTATTTTTGCGTCGTCCGCGGCCGAGTTGCAAATGATGGTTACATTAATGAACAGATCATTAAAAGAAAGGGGTATGAAAGTGAACGCAAGTCAGATGAAAGTTATGTTTTTTGAAAGAGAAGAAAGTGAAACGATATGTCAAATAAAAGTAGAAGGGGAGTTGATAGAGCAAGTAGATGAATTTGTATAATTGGGATGCATATTTAGCAATGATGGGAGATATGATAAGAATATAGAACGACGAGTGAATGCTGGAAATAGAGTAAATGGCGCCCTACACTCTATTGTGAAGAGTCAAAATGTGTCGAAAAAGGCACGTATGGCAATTCACAATGCTGTGATGGTCCCTAATTTAACGTATGGTAGTGAAAGTTTGGTGTGGCAGAAGAAGCAGAATAAACGCAGTCGTAATGCGGTCATTAAGGAGTATGTTAAAGCTGAATCTGAGTGGCAGGGTGAGAAATTGTGTGATAAGAGAAGAGTGTGGTTTGCAAGATGATGTTGTGACCAGGATTAAGAAAGGAACGCCTCGGTGGTTTGGTCATCTGAAAATCATTCATTCTTTTATTTCTTCTTTCTTCTTAGGAAAGAGTGACAAAGCAAATTTGTGTTGCAGGAGTGAACGGCAGAGTCGGAAAGGGACGTCCTAGGCGAAAGTTCAGAAAGAAAGAAAGAAAATGGCCAAAATACTCTTAACTGACGAGCATGTATGCGTAGGTATATGGATGTGGAGGAGGTGAGAGAGGTGTGTCAGGATCGTGACAAATGGAAGTCTTTAGTTTCTGCCTACCCCTCTGGGTGACAGGCGTGAGTGTTTGTGTTATGTTATGCAGCCCTGCAACTGTGGCTTCTCTGCAACTCATAGCTAAGGAATTGCGTCACGGAGCCGTCAGTTTATTGCTATTTGTTTCAAGGCTAATATTTTGTCTGGTCAGACGTCATCTGCTTTATTTCCCATTGTACCGTCATCCAGGTACCACGAACCAGACATTCCGCTTGGATTTTAAATTTGAAATAATGGGTTGAATTCTCTACTAACTCTAACTAAAAAGATCAGGAACTAGTGAGTCACACTACTGAACACTAACAGCAGAATCGATAACATGGTTTTCGTAAAACAAGTATTTTGGCTGTAATATTGCCAAATGGGGGGTATTGTTAGCCACTTCTTTCAGCTAGTTTACCCTGTCGATAGAGTAAAAAAAAAATCTTATGTCAACCACCACAAGAATCAATGCATCAGAAATTATTAAAAATATACGCATTGAATGTATCACCGCCTCACAGTCATCTTTAGTTCCAAAGTCTAGTTGAGTAGGTTGAAATTTTGTCTGAAGTTTAGTGATTATATGCCTGCAAGCTAGGTTTGAACTTAAGCGTCAAAATTTGGAACCAACGGTAATATGACCGACACCATTATTCTTTTTTTAAGGCACGTATTCTTGCCCCATACGCTATACTTACCATAAGTAAGGAATGGATTAACATTACATAAAATTACACAAACAACTAAATATTGTACAATAAACTAATGTATGTACTAAATCACTTTTTAAATATTAATATTTTGCTCGATCTTTGCTTTTATTTTACGTTCAGATTGCATTGTATTTTTATTTCATATTCATCATAATCGATTCTATTCGATTATTATCACTCGGAAGAACTGTCAAAATTTTGCGGAAAGACAACACATGCAACGCGCTGTTTACAAGTAGGTACTTCAGACGTCCTTCTGTTTGTCGATTTTACAGCGTTGTAATTTTCATAAACTTTCGCTTGTTTTTTGTTTTTTCGTACGATGATTTCAACCGACGCGGGTGTTGTTTTACGAGTGTGTTCGTGATCGTAGAATAAATTTTGTGTGTGACAAGTGCGATTTGCGTAATACAGTCGGTAGTCATGGGTGCTAAGGCAAGTACGGCCAACGGAGGGCAGAGTCCGCGCGCGAGGACATTCTCTACGAGCTCCAGTTCGGACGTCGTATCCGGTGGTGCCGGCTTTAGTCTGTTACGCGCAATACCTGGTATACAGGTGACAAATGATCGTCAGAGGGCGAGGTCGCTGTCTTCTGTGCCGGACTTACACGATTCGCACGAAGCGATTGCCATTCCAGCAAATTCACAAAGTTATGAGGCTTCGGCAGCAGCGAGTCCGGATACAGACTCTAGTTCCAATGAGGAGGCTGGTCCAGTGCCAGGAACCTCATTGGCTCTTGGTAGAGTTTATGCGGCGCACTCCCTGCCTTCACACATCTGGTCCATAAACGGTAAGATTAATTAAGTAAATCTCTTAATTGGTTTTGTTTTGATGCAGTAAACAAGATGTCAAACTAATGCATACTATGAAGATAATTTTTTTCAAATGCAAAAATGAAACTTATTTTCATATAAGAAACTAATAGGAAATATCCTATTAGATTCTTGATCTTGATGATCTAATCAGGCATATAAATATAGCCTTTGATTAGATAATTTTATCTATGAACAAGAAATAGAATTCTATTTCTTGTTCATGGATAAAATGATCTAATCGAAGTTAAATTTATATTGATCCATAATAGCTTGATATAGTATTACATATTCTTATATAACATAATTTTATTATTAGACAGTGTTGCCAACAACTAAACTAGTTCTCCACTTGATTCAACTACTAAAACCACCAGAAAACCACTAACAAAAAGCGACCCTACACTCATAATCCCAAAATTTTCCACTAAACAAATTTTGTGGCAACTGTGTCAATCAGTCTTTGGGCCAATCTTTGAGAGAGACCTATGTTCTACAGTGAACTTTTGATACCTAGGCTGTATTGGATTAGAAATGATGGACATTACTATCATTTTGGTTTAAGATATTGTTATGTCAAGTCTGTAACACATCAAAATCTGCTCAAAAAGAAACTGTAAACCTATTTTGAGCTTATGAATTTGCCATGCAACTCCAAAATTCTGCTAAAAGTTATACAAAGTTTCAATGCAAAGCAGTAAAGTCTGTTGTAATTGGTATAAAATATTCAACGAAGAAATTTATCCATATAGGTTTTCCTTGCATTGATTATCCAAATCTATATATGAATACGTAAAGGGAATCGTTGTACCCTTTTTTAAGCATATTGCGCATGGGAAGGAGTGTGAGATTTTGCATAGTTTATAGGAGTGGAGGAAGCTAAAGTTCATATATAATATGTGTTACATAAAATTAAATGCAATGAAATAAAACATACATTCTTACATTTATATTGGCAATATCAAACACATATTTGTCGCTGAGATAAATTATGTTTTTTGTTGATTTTCAGACTGCTATTGTTTCAGTATTGTTATTACTTTAAGGCCAATGTCAAACACTTAATACTATGTGGTCAAAGAGTAGAGATATATGTGGTAGAGTTACTCTACAGTTATGTTATGGTTGTAGCACAAATGGGTCCGCTCCACTTGGGTAGGACCATGCTCTCAGAGAATAACAGCTTAATGCTGCTGTGTTTTGTATGGTGAGTGTAGAAAACCAGAGAACCTTTTCACTGGAAATGGTTTTAGGTAGGTGAGGCATTTTAGTCATTAGGAGTGACAATTTATCCACTATTTGATACTTAGTAGGGGAAAAATGTAGATGGCCATGGGCGACAGCATCCACTTACCATCAGGTAGACTGTGTGCTCATTTGTCTTCATCATTCTATAAAAAAAGATTGTTTTTTCTACGATTAGGAACTTGATGGTTTTGATTGTAGGCGAATTGCCACCTCTAGCTAGGTGAATCTAAATCAATTACATTGTTTAACTATCCCAACCAATTTTTACTTGAGGTTAAATTGTAGACTGTTAAGGCAAGAGTATTTTGATAAGCGCCCATTTAGTAAGGGAATTGTATCATATTGCACCATACAATGTCAAATGCTCCATTAGGTACTCATTGTTGAAAAAAAAGGTGAGATTAATAGGAAGAAGGTTGTAGCACCTTTAGGTCTTGCTCTGGGCATATACCTCCAAATAATTTCTGATTTTTGATGGGAACGATTCCCCTAAATTATTAAAGTGTGAATTTGTAGAGGATCAACAACAAAAAATGTGTATGTGTTGCATCATATTAGGGGCCGTCCATTAATTACGTGAGGCTCGAAAGGGGGGAGGGGTTTGACAAAAATCACGAAATATCAGAATAAAACTAGATAATACTTTATAGATACTAAAAATTACATGTGATTTTGGGTGTGTGTGTGTGTGGGGGGGGGGTTAGTTTTAAACCCCACCACATATCACCAAGAGGGAAGAGGGGTGTTAAAAATGCTAAAAAAACATTATATGATTAATGGACAGCCCCTTATCATATTTTATATTACTGATGTAATTATGTGCAGTGAGTTACTAACTAATAAAAGGATGTGATCATCAAATCAAATCAAATGCTAAAAGAAATTGTAATAGGTAGCTATTACTTTATGAAACTTTTATTGGTATTGTTACCTACTGTAAAATCATCAAATATCCAGTTTGTATCAAGTAATCCCACCTATCCGTCCAATTCCTTAATGACTGTCCATCATTTAAGACTGTGGGGCGCTACCTACTGGCACAGTCTAACTACTACTAACAGTCGTTCATCGAAGGCATCGAGAAGGGTCAATCGTGCAGAGCGGTGCAGGACGAGATGTGGGCAGAGCGTTGTCGGCTAGAGTTGTCCTATCATGCAAATAAATTAAAATTTTTCTCACTATGTGTGCGGTAAAAAAACCGTAGGTTGTCTTCATTTAAAGATAAGGAATTAAAGTTTGTTCGTTTTCCACATACATAGGAATTTGTTTACCCAAGAAATAAAAAAAATATATTTTATTACTTCCCATTCTGATAACCCTCTCCATTAATTATTTATGTCGGTTTTTCCAAGCACATAAAACGCAGTGACTGACTATATGTTCTTCTTAGGCTGTGTTATTGGTCTATTGCAATTTTGTTTGCACTTTGTCTTTTCCATAATCACTTAGTTTTTTTTTATAAAATTTGCCATGTAAACATTTAAGCTATGCAAAGCTATTGGTATAATAACTGTCAATGTTATAATAGATGTATAAATGATAAGAAGCATTGTTTTACTTTAAAAAAATTGTCATGTTATAAGACTAAATAATTAAGGGTGTGTCCAGCCTTTTTACCAAGATGTCCGGCTAAGCTCGCTGGTCTGTCTGGCTTTTCGGTTTTAAGACCTGGCAACCCAATGTATTGCCACTTTCTCTGGTTAATTTAATTTCAACTCCTTTTTAACCATTTGATTCCTGAAGTAGAACAAAAAAGGGGCGGCCATATAGCTCTGATATAGCTTGAATGTAGTGATTATACATATATTATGTCAATGTATTATTAAATTATCATAATTGTGTACCACATTTTAGCAACATTATTATTTAATAGATGTGCTGTTAGATTCAAGGTGTTAAACATTATTACATTTTAAACATGTATAATTGAGGTAATTAATGACTTCAATTATGTTTTTGTTACTTCAGTAAATTGAATGATAATTGTTGTTTAGTATTAGACTGGATTGGTTTGTTTATTTTAATAATTTTGATTTTTAGACATCTTTATAAAAATACAGTCAATATTGACTGTATTTTTTATGAATGTTATGCAATATCTTTGTCAATTGGGAACTGATTTGGACAATTTATTTTTGTTAAATAGGTTGTACTTCAGGGATACTCCAACAGAATGGAATAATTTTTTATTCAATATTGATGATTACATGTCCCTAATTCATAATAAAAGTATTTTTTTTTACTTTACAACCGGTTTGGGAAAAAAAAACTGTCCTGGAAAGAAACCCAGTGGGATTTAAAAAAATTATGCAACATCTAAATTCAGACCTTATTTCGAATAATAATAATAATAATCATTTTTGTGCAGTTTTTGTTTAATAAAATATTTATATTTGTTAATAGAGTGACCTTGTATATTTTCTAGGACCTTGTTTTAATAGCGTATACATTGCCTCAAGAATGAATTATTGACCCTGTGGAGTGGAGAAACTGGTATCACCAGCTTGCGTTTGTTCCAAGTGTTTTGGTGAACATACATTAAATTTACGTAAATATAGGCACTGAGAGACCAAAGTGTATATATTTATTTCTTTAAACTTTTCTCTGACATAACCTCTCGGTTTAAGCTGTAAATAGCTCTTATGGCCCTCTTCTGCAAAACAAAAATGGTTTCTAAATCAGCCGCATTTCCCCATAGCAAAATCCCATAAGACATTATGCTAAGGAAATAACTGAAATTGACTAATCTAAGTGTCTAGATACTAGTGAGACCTCTAGTCTTTTCCACAGCATAAACTGCAGAGTGTAGTGGCTATTTAACACAACAACGCGGCCTCCTTGACGGCAAAAGTGGACCATAGCGGTACCTGACCAGATGCAGGCGGACAACTAGTCGGATAATGAGTCCTTCCAACCAGTAATTTTCGATACTTGTATGAAAAAAGTCACATTTTCTAAACTTTTTTACAAATGTTAATAGCACAATTTCACGCCGTTTAAGACACATTGAGTTATCCTTATTTTTTTATAGAATAAGGGTGACAAACGAGCCTGAATGTAAAAAATGTATCCTGACATTTACACCTATCCGCAATTAAAAATCAAAATACAGATGCGTTATTACCCTTATGACTAAGATGGAATGCCTCATTTTCAGTAAAAGGGTTTCCAGTTTTATGAAACAGCAGCATTAAAGTGCTATACCACGCTGGTATTTTAAGAGTGTGGTTCTTCCTCATTCGAGCTGGTCCATTCGTGTAGCAACCATAAATTAACTGAAGAGTGGCTCTACCACGTAAATTATTAAGATATGAAGTATTATCTAATATAAAAAACGTGTTATTGTTTGTTCGTATTTTATGTGCTGCCATAGCATTCATCAGTTCAATGCGATAAAACTTTGTCAACTTTATTGGTTGCCCTTGCGCGGAGGTTATAGGCGTAGTTGGACCCGGTAGGTGACACGCGTATCGTACCGACACATTTATAGATAGTACAATTTCAATAAGTATTATCATTCGTAATTCAATACAACTCTCCTAAATTAAAAACAATACTCCCACAGTTATTTCTTCTGTGGCTACAACGCGCCGGCTACCAGTCCTACCACACTAGTCAGTAATAAATAAATACTGATAACTAAGTATATAAAGGCGACAAAATATGTAGTGTTCCCATATTTTATTCAACTAAGATTGCATACAGTTTCTATCACATTTGCAGCAGGGGGTTTTTCACAGAGGA